GATAGGAACATAGTAATGAATTAGAGAAAGCATACTGTTAGCTCGAGTAAGTTTTTTTTTAGATGATACAGTTGATTATACCAAGATAGGTTTTCATCAAGATATATTCCAAGATACTTTATATATTTTGATGGAAAAAGTTTATACCGTTAATTTTAATTTTAATATGACCAATAGTTTTTTGAGGGGAATGAAAAATAAAGTATTCAGTTTTATTGACATATGAAATACGGTTACTATTTAACCAGTTACATAAGCGATGAAAATCTTGATTAACTTCTTTACAAAGAGTCGTGAGGGATTTGTTGATATATAAAAGATTGGTATCGTAGAATTTTTTAATGAACAAGATAAATCATTTATATATAATAAGAACAACAACGGTCCAAGAACGGAACTTGTGGAACGCCATATTTAATAACTTTATGTGTGGATTCAAATCCATTAATTGAGTGCAATCTGTAATATATGAAGAAAACCAATGATTAGCAATACCACGTATTCCGCAGTAGTTTAACTTTTTTATTAGAATGTTGTGATCAACCATATCAAAAGCTTTTTGAAGATCATATATATAGTATATATATAGTATATATATATACTACATATATACTATATACATTAGTTGAAATTAAATCAGTTAGTAGTGCTTCAACAAATTTATCTAAAAAATTTGCAAAAGAGCTTGTATTTACAGGTGTTTCTAAAAATATTTTATCAGAAAAAATATAATCTACTTGCTCTCTGATATAGTAGTTATTTCTAGGAACAGTTTAAAAGACTTCTTGCTTTCTGAATCCACCATCAGAGGTGCAAATAAGAAAGCAGCAAGTACAAGTGCAGCTAAATATCGAGAAGTTATAAAAAAACTGCAAGTCAAAGTAAATTTTCAATAATCACACACTTTAATGGAAAAATTTTGCATGGATATTACTAACGCTACAAAATGAAAGAGAGATCCTTTTGCTGTTCTTGCGAATATCAATGTTGATTTAAAACTTTTTGGTATTCTGCCAACAATACACGGTACTGAAAAATTTCATCATGATACTTTAACAAAAATTTTGAATAAATATAAGCTAAAGAACTTATATAAAGGGTCTGTGGTTTGATACAACTGCAACTAATACTGGAAAATATTGTAGCACAAACATTAGGTTCTGTCAAACACAGGATTCAATTATATTATAGCTTGCATGTCAAAGACATGTTTATCAGCATTATTGTAAACATTTTTGGGAAAAATGTCATATTGGTAAAACTTATGCTCCTAAAAATTTTGAAAAGTTTAAGCCAATTGGAATGCAGCAAAGGAATCTATGGATAAATGAAGTTCAAAAAGCTTAGTTTCCTCTCACCTTTTAAAAGTTTACTTTTTGTTTTATTTGAATAAAACACAAACTTGTGCCTTATTTTAAGTCTATTAAAAGAAGATGATAAACATTGGCTGAACTGTCCTTCATTCTTCTGTGGCTTTGTCAACCAATCTAAAACTTTCATTGGATTTGTATGCCGGCTATAAGTATTCAATGAATGCTCTAAACTGTAAGTTTTCAATGACTGCTCTAAACAGACAATTAAGTTTGTGTCAGAGATTGCTAATTTTTTTGACAATGAAAGGGACAGACGAAATATAATGCTGGCAGTTCCGCAAAGTAGGTATCAATTCAGGGAGTTTGAAGAAGAACAAACAATGGAGCATGGCAAAAAAAGAAATTACAACCTGGTATAACCAACAAACAGGTTAGCCAATTGCCTGATATTTGTATCACACCAGCATCTGTATCTAAAGTGATTTCCTGTTTAGACTTTTCTACAGCTTGTGGTCTGGAGAACACATATATTACAGTCTTGCAAAAGTGTTCCCCAAAGCTGTCATCTATACTTTCAAAACTATTTCACAGGTGCTCATCAGAGTCTTGTTTCCAAACTTCTGGAAAGCAACATCTGTTATCCTTATTTTTAAAAATTTTGAAGAGTGATCTAGTTAGTTTAACTATTTAGATCATTCTCCAAAATTTTTAACACTTAATCTCTCATCTTGAAATTAATAAAATACTTTCTGATCATTAATATTTCAATCGTTTTGTTCTACTGGCGATATGTTAACGGTAATAACTGATAGATCTTATCATGAATTAGATATGGAGAGGCCAAGGCTATTGCTCTCTACATTTCTAGAGCTTTTGATAAAGTTTGGAATGCTGGTTTATTCCATAGACTCTCTTCTTACACTGTATCAGTTAACATCTTTAAGATAATTGAATCCTTCCTTACCAGTGGTAGTATAAAAGTTGCCCTTGACAGCACTCTTCTTCATAACCTGTAACTTCAGGAATTCCTCAAGATTTAATCCTTGGATCTATACTTTTTTTTAGTTACATTAACAATCTCCCAGAAACTCTCACATCTAAGGTGGCATTGTTTGCTGATGATACTACCATTTATTCTTGTCATGATAAGAAGCCAAAACTCTCTGATTGCTTGGAGGGAGCATTTG